TGTGTTTGGGCTGCTGGGATCCTCTGCAGGAATCCAGGTCGCCCCAGGGTGGAGTCCCAGCTGGGCCTGCTTGTGGTTTCAGGAGGACCTGGGGTTCTGGGCAGAGAAAGGGATGCTCACCCTGCTGCCCAGCACCAGCCCCCAGAGCTGCCAGCCTCGACGATTCCTGCCTCTTCTCCCTGTGGACACCTGATGTGGGCACATATGGCTCGGCCTCATGCTCTTACTGGTGACAAAATACACACAGCATGGAATTGAGCATCTTAACAAGTTTAGTGGCGTCAAATACACTCATACTGTGCAACCATCACCAGCCTCCATCCCCAGAACTTTTTCATCTTCTAAACAGAAACTCTGTCCACATTAAACACTAACCCCCCATTTCCCCTCCAGAGCCCTGGCAGCCACCCTACTTTCTGCCTCTATGAGCTTCCCTACCCCAGGGGCCTCACAGAATGAAATCATTGTCCTTTTGTGTCCGGCTTATTTCACATAGCATAATGTTCTCAAGGTTCATCCATGTTGTAATGTGTGTCAAAATTTCCCTCCTGTTTTGTTTTTTTTAAGCCCACAGCACCCGGTATTCTCCTATCCAACTACTAACCAGGCCTGACCCTGCTTAGCTTAGAAGGTCAGGCCAGATCAGCAGGTCAGGAGTGTTCAGGGTGGTGTGGCGGCAGACAAAATCTCCTTCCTGGTTCAGGCTATATCCCACTGTATGGACAGACCGCGTGTTGCCCATCCATTCCTCTATGAACGGACACGTGGGTTGCGACCATCTGTTGGCTACTGTGAGTGATGCTGCTACGAACATGGGAGTACAAATATCTTTCAGGTTCCTCCTTTCAGTTCTTTTGGGTCTGTACCCAGAAGTGGAATTGCTGAGCCTTATGGGAGCTGTTTAATTTGTTGAGGAAGTGCCTTGCTGTCTTCCATAGCGGCGGCACCAGCTTCCAGTCCCAGCAGCTGGTTGACCCCAGCTTTTCACCGCCAGTACGAGGGCCATCTTCACAAATCTCTCCCTCTCCACTTCTGAGCTTTTTTAAAAAGTATATAGTTACCTTTATTATAATTCATAAAAGCATTAGAAATGGATTTTTAAAATGACAGTTACGCCCTAACCCGTTTGGCTCCGTGGATAGAGCATCGGCCTGTGGACTGAAGGGTCCCAGGTTCGATTCCGGTCAAGGGCATGTACCTTGGTTGCGGGCACATCCCCAGTAGGAGGTGTGCAGGAGGCAGGGATCGATGTCTCTCTCTCATCGATGTTTCAAACTCTCTATCCCTCTCCCTTCCTCTCTGTAGAAAATCAATAAAACATATTTTTAAAAAAGTGATGGTTAGGTTCTCATGAGCTTCTGCTTTCTGTTCATTCAGCTATACCCTAGCCGGTTTGGCAGTGGATAAAGCGTCGGCCTGCGGACTGAAGGGTCCCAGGTTCGATTCCGGTCAAGGGCACATGCCCGGGTTGTGGGCTCTATCCCCAGCATGAGGTGTGCAGGAGGCAGCCGATCCATGATTCTCTCTCATCATTGATGTTTCTATCCCTCCCTCTCCTTTCCTCTCTGAAATCAATAAGAACATATTAAACATAAAATTAAATGATCTCAGATACACCACTCACCCCACCAAATCACCCCACTGCAGTGTGTGATGGCCCCTTTCCCATGCCCCACATCATTGGTGAGCCCCTCTTGTTTGTCTTATCAGCTGGAGCCCTCTTCTTCCTGAAGGTCTCCGTTTATTTTTGTCCTAGACTCACCCAGACTTTGCTCTTTCGGGTTCAGCTCCTTAATCCACCCTGTCCATGTGGCTCTCATTCAGTGACATCATAAGTCCCTCTACTTCTGTCTGCCTGCTCTCCTCTGTCATCTTGTCACCTTTCTCCTGGGGCTCACTTTCTGCCTCTCTCAGGCTCTTCCTGCCTCTGTTGTTCTTGGCCTCTCTTGTCAGTTCATCTCTCATGGCTTCTCTGCATATCTGCGCTCTCCTGGCTGGGCATGGTGCCTGTTCCTCCCTTGTCACCTGCTCTGTCACTCATGCTAGTTTGGGTCTCCTGCCCTGGTGCCTATTTAGGGATGGATGTGTGTGTTAGGCAGCCCTGGGCTGGCAAGGGCAGCTTGGAGGCTCCAGGGCCAGGGGTCCCCAAGGAGGGTCCAGGACAAGAAGAACCAGAGTGACTGTACCTGGCCTCAGCCCAAAGCCCAGCCTGGGCTCCCAACACTTGGCCTTGGCCCTAGCCTTGGGGTTCCCTTCCCCTCTCACTACCCCCACCTCTAAGGTGGGTGGCAACTTTGTCCCTCCCTCTGCCCAAAGGGCTTCCATACCTGCGTAGACCAGCTTGTCTACACACCTGCCTCGGCTGTAAGTGGATCGAGACACCCCACGGAATCGCAGCAGCTGCCCGACGGGCCCGGAGAGAAGAGGAACAGGATGCGGCTCTACCCCACTCATCCAGGCCCCGGCCCGCCTGGTCCCTGCCCCG